ATACTCCTTCCATTTCAATATGATTGCTTGCACAGTGCTCCTTGGGATGTTTAAAGCTTGGGAAATCTTTTTGTATCCAAATCCTGCTTGAAACTTCTCCACAACAGTATCTCGGACCTGCCTGGTGTGTTCCTTGGTCTTCATGATGCTCTCTGCGCTTTGAACAAAACCCTGAGACTATCACAGAGCAGGTGCATTTATACGGAGACTTGATTACACACAGGTGGATTCTATTTATCATCATCAGTCATTTGGAACAACGTTGGATCATTCATAGATCCTCACTGAACTTCTGGAGTCAGTTTGCTGCACTGAAAGTAAAGGGGCCCAATAATATTGCACGCCCCACTTTTCAGATTTTTATTTGTTAAAAAAGTTTGACACATCCAATAAATTTCATTCCACTTCACGATTGTGTCCCACTTGTTGTTGATTCTTCACAAAAAATTAAAATGTTATATCTTTATGTTTGAAGCCTGAAATGTGGCAAAAGGTTGAAAAGTTCAAGGGGGCCCAATACTTTTGTAAGGCACTATATTTATATTAGTTTAGTAGATATGTGTTGATGGGTAAACGAGGGCACAGATTGTGCTGTAAAACTTTTTTTGGTATAGTTGAACAGAAAGTCGTTATGTCAGTACAGTCCCCTGGACTGTACTGGAACTTGACCGTATTAGAATTTCGGGACAGCCACTAACATGGTTCTATATAACGCGTAATTTGTAAACCGATCAATGCTAGAAATGGCTGGCAGGCCGGCAGTGGGTGGGGGGTGGGAGGAGTCCTGGGGGACGCACATGCTCACAAGAAAAGAACTTGACAAGCTGTTTAGTGACACAAAATATATTTTGTTGGCAAAGAATAGTTCTAACATTTATTAAACATTACGCTGTATTTACAAAAAAACAAACAAACGAACAAAAAACCCACATCTAAATTGTGCTTTGACAAACTCATCAATAAAACTGCCTATAATATTGCACATGGGTGTGCTATGGGGTCTCCAGTTTCTCCTATTGTTGCCAACCTGTACATGGAGGAGGTAGAAAAGAGAGCCTGGACGTCCTTTTCAGGGACACCACCAAGTCATTGGTTCAGGTATGTTGACGACACCTGGGTTAAAATTAAATCTCAGGAAGTCCAACATTTTACTGACCACATCAACTCTGTGGATAAATACATCAAGTTCACACGAGAAGATGAAAAAATGGCAGGTTGGCTTTCTTGGACTGTGAGGTCTCAGTCTCTGATAGAGGACATTTGCAAACTGAGGTGTACCGCAAACCCACCCACACAGACCGGTATTTGCAGTTTGACTCCCATCACCCTTTGGAGCACAAGTTAGGAGTCATCAGGACTCTACCACAGAGCAGACAGCGTCCCCACTAGCTCAGGAGCCAGGCAGAAGGAGAAATCCTACACAAGACAGGCTCTAGAGCAATGTGGATATCCTAACTGGGCCTTCCTGAAAGCAGAGAAGAAACCCAAACAGGACTCCAGTCAGCCAACAGGTGAAAAGGAGGAACCCAGACCCAGACCAGTGGTCATTCCATATGTTGGGGGAGTATCAGAGAAACTGAGACGTTTATTTTCTAAACATAACGTCCCAGTGGCTTTTAAACCCCAAAATACATTACGGCAAAGACTGGTTCATCCCAAAGATCCAGTCCCCCGGCACAAACAGAGTAATATTGTGTATGCTGTTCAGTGTCAGGAGGGCTGTGATCAGTCTTACATCGAGGAAACTAAACAGCAAAACTCGTTGATCCACTCTGAGAAGGTGCTATTTAAGAGGCTGAGCTGAATAGAACACCTCAGACTGAGGAAGTCTCTCGGATGAGAGATGAAACGTTTCTACATTTTTTGTTGTTTTGCTTTGTTTTGTTTTTTTGAATGTCCAGAGGACCAGATTTAATTTTTTTAGATTTTTCTACCTGGATTATTGAGCAAGCATCAGGATAAAATGATATGGTTTGGTCATGGAGGAGGAACCATACCCACTTTGGTGGACTTCACAACTTTAAATGGTGATATTATAGAAGAAGTAACAGTTTATAAATATTTGGGAATTTGGAATGATGGTGCACTGTCCTTTTCACATCATGGTAATATTTTGCAATCTAAGGTTGAAGTAAGACTTGGTTATTACTACAGAAATCGATCTTTGCTTACATTGGCTGCAAAACGCACCATTGTGGAAAAAAACATTCTACCTCTATTGGATTATGGAGACATACCGATAATTGATAGACATGCTTGTAAGGTGTCCTTCATAAGCTGGACACAACTGATCACTCTACTATTTGCTTTGTTACAAAATGCTCCTTATGAAGCATATCATTGTCACCTATACTCTCTAGTTAAATGGCCTTCTCTGCATACCCATTGTGAAATTTATTGGTTTACTCTCATTTATAAGATGTTGCTGGTTTATTCTGTCACAGTCTGTTGTCTTCAAAACCCAAGTGCAAGCCGGATTCAAGATGTAACTTGGATAATCAACAAATAATTTTTATTTACAAAAAGGTCAAAAACGTGGAGGACTTCAAGTATCTTGGGGTTTTGTTCACGAGTGAGGGAAGAATGAAGCGTGAGATTGACAGATGGATTGGTGCAGCAACTGTAGTATTGCGGACTCTGTACCAGTCCATTGAGGTGAAGAAGGAGTTCAGCTGTAAGGCAAAGCTCTCTGTTTACCGGTCGGTCTACATTCCTACCCTCACCAATGGTCACGAGCTCTGGGTAGTGACCGAAAGAATGAGATTGTGGAAATGGTGGTTGTATGGACAAGAAGGCCGTGCACAGCTGAGCAGCAGCTTCTCAGGCTCCCAGTGGAAAACCCAGTTTTGTCTGTTCTGAAATTGAGCCCGACTCCGCTCACTTTAAGCGTGTGAATTATAGCTGAACCGAACTTATTAACATAAAAGAAGGTTTGACTTCAGAATCAGCAGCGATGGACCACAATCTGAGAGCTACACTTGGCAGATTGCTGCTCCTACGAACATCTTCATCAGTGTGGAGGGACCACCACAAAGGGAAAAAGGAAGCACTGTGCGCGGGGTCAGAAGAGATGTAAACAGTGTGGAGTATTAACGAGACTGAAGGCTAATGCTAACACACCGCCAATTCCATCTCTGTTCCTGGCCAACGGTCGTTTTAAAAAGAGCTGGACCTTCTGCAACTACAGTGCCTTGCAAAAGTATTCGGCCCCCTTGAACTTTTCAACCTTTTGCCACATTTCAGGCTTCAAACATAAAGATATAAAATTTAATTTTTTTTTGTGAAGAATCACCAACAAGTGAGACACAGTCGTGAAGTGGAATGAAATTTTTTGGATGTGTCAAACTTTTTTAACAAATAAAAAACTGAAAAGTGCGTGCAATATTATTGTAGTAAGATTAGGTGTCTTAAGCCCCTTATCCACAGGGCCTTTTGGTACTCCTATGTAACTAGTTATGGCTGATTGCGTGTTTTATCCACAATGCCTTTAGCGGTGGAACCCACCCCATTTTTGGGACCTAATTCTCTGAGGTCCCAGGTCTGGTTCTTGTTGGGTCTAGATGTGACATCAGCGCACTGTAGGTCACTGATTGGTCAGGGGGCGTATTCATTGGTGGAGGGCAGAGATTCAGTCTTCCACCGGAAAACCCCATCCGCTATTTTCTTTTTCACCCGCCATAACAGACAACAAGAAATCGGAGGAGCATATTTTGGAATATTTTATAAGGTAAAACAAATAATCATGGCACAACCGTGGTCGAATGCTGAAGTTCAGACATTTCTCTGTTTGCTGGCTGACGAACAAGTGCAGAGCGAGCTAGATGGAACCAAACGAAATGGAAAGATTTTTCAAGAGGTGTCTGCGCAGATGGCGGTACAGGGCTTCCATCACACACCAAAGCAAATTAGAGGAAAGCTTAAAAAAACTAAAAAGTGATTACAAAACGATTAAGGACCACAATGGTAGGAGTGGAGCAAACAGAAGAAACCGGAAGTGGTTTGTACAAATGGATCAATCGGATCGCTGTTAAACGTCTGAACATCAGTTCTCTTCGACGTCTGAAAATCTCTTTTCTTCTACGTTTGAAAATGGCTTCTCGACAAAGTCTGCGTCCTTCTTGTACTCTGAGAAAAAGCAACAGGCAGAGCAGAACATTGAAAAAAGCAACGAGGTCATCCATTTTGGTTGTATGTTGTTTTCCGGCTCTTCTTCTTCTAATACATGTTAGTGGTGCTTAGAAAAGAGCTTAATGTAGCACTAGCGCCACCAGCTGGTAAGGTGCGTTGATATTAATAATCCGCCCACTAGAGGTGAACAATCCGCCCACTAAACGGGAACTATAGGCAATGTGGAGACAGAAAAAAGAGGTCCCACCAGAACCGGACACAACAGGGTCCAACAAGAACCAGACCTGTGGATAAGGGGCTTTAGAGGAGATGAGGAAATGTGCTGGTGTAGCCCAGGAG